AAATTTGATAATAAAACTTTATTTAATAAATATAATTTAGAATGATAAGTCATAGGAAAATAGTATTGATTTTTCATAAAAAGTTAGTATGTAGCTTAGAAAAATGCACACACATAAAAAAGGGTAGTAGAATTATATACACTTTTTGAGCTAATGTTGGAAATTAGCATAACACTAAACCTGATTATGTAATATTTTCTCTATTTGCATTTATGAACAAAATCATAGATAAGGGTTTGGTAGGGGAAAGAATGGGGAAGGGTGTTTGGTGTTTTGTTTTCTCCCGTTGCAAAGCACGGGCCATGTCCTAGTTACACTAACAATTACAGATGTCGAGCTAACTATGGACCATGACTTTTTCGAATGGGATCTTCACACTTTTTGTTTTTTTTCTATGCACTCAAGGTACTCGGCTTTAATGAATACTTTTGGCTTCAAATCTAAAACATTATAGCATCTTAAATTACCATTTAAAGATAAATATTTTCGTTTGGTTCCTGGGAAATGAGACACTTATTTGAGTCGGAGGGAGTACTTATTTAGGACAATATAACTGAGCCAAATCCCAGCCCTCTCACGTTCTCTTCACATCTGACCGTCCGTTTTAGTGATAGAGGCGTTTCTGGCCATCGGATCTGATGCTTATTACGAGCTCCACCGCACGTGCAAATTCGTGGCCCAACTGTCCTAAAGGGCAGCTGCTCCAGCAGAAAAATCGGACTACTGTGGTTTACTGGGCCTTTTGTGCCGGCCCATTAGGCAAAGACCAAGGGGATCGAACTGAATCGGGCGAAGAGGCGATGGACAGCCGAGGGAATGGCTCGATCCTGCCGCCCCGGCAGATGCGGGGATCGCGCGAGGGAATGGCTCCTCGATCCAGCCGCCGCGAGCGATGCGGGGATCTAGCCGCCGCGAGCAATGCGGGGATCTAGCCGCCGCGGGTAATGCGGGGATTGCCCGATCCAGCTGACACACGCGGACGATTCAGGCCGGCGCTTTGTTTGATCGAAACTGCTCCACCGAGGTTTGAAGGCGCAATCATTCTTCAGTTTCTCTTCACACATTCATGGCTGGTAATGTTCCGTCCTTTCCGCTGCTTCGGGCTAGAGGTGCGTGTATATATGCTGCCTCTCATTAGCAGTCTTCACTCACACCCTTTCCGCTCCGGCAGCAGAACATCCTTCAGCGTGATGCTCGATAGGCTTCCCTGTATTTCTTTTCAGTTAATGTGTGATCTTTCTCCCACCAGGCAATTACCTTGTCCTGATGTCCTGTTATTCTAAAAAAATAATATTACATACAGGTGATGTTCATGCTGGTTGTAGTCGACTGACTTGGTTGGAATTGGTACTGGCATTTTCTTAGTTCGGCTGCTCATAATTACCAATGGCTTGACAGGTAATTACTATCTTTCGTGTCTTACCATCCATATTCTTATGCCACACTTTGCTTAGATTGTATGTTCCTGTGTTATATGGAACAGGTTATTTAGAACAGTATATTAGAATGTTCCAAAAACGTAGCAATACCGTCGTAGAGGGAGGAAAAGCCAAATATCTTCTGCTTCTTCTATCCATAAACGAGCAAAGCCGAACAATCCTGTGGATAATTTCTTTCCTAATTACACAAGCGACATCCAGGGGAAAATCATGTCGCCCGTGTTAAATACAGAAAACATGAAATTTTTACACAATCAGGGCCATTGCGTGATGCCACTGGCTGGATACAATTGCCTCACCATTCTTACTCTTGCAGCAAATCCTCCAGCGGTATGGTTCTCGGCTAAGGTTTCCCTCCATCCACATTTTTACCTTCATTGTGAATTTTCTTTAATGCAATTTCTACCGTGTGCCTGTTTGGTGATGCTTCTGTGTAACTCTCTACTTTAGATTTGGCATGGCTAGATCTTTAGAAAGATATACATCTTTGTCGATTATTGAAGGTCAGGTGTTTGTCAAATTGGTTCTTTGCCATCCATGGTGTTGTTGTCTGGCTTGGCCATATGTTAATTGGTGAACTTTATAATTATTAATATATACCGATAAATGTTGCAAGTTTATTCATTCAGTGGGATCATGAGGTCAGGACATAGAGTCCTGCAGCAAAATATGAAAAAACCTAATTAGAGTGACATAATTATATTTTACAAAGCAAAGCACTTCTAGAAAGCTTGTGTGATGAAGCTGTCCCATGTTTCTTCATATGCTGTTTCTATCCCATATCAATAAAATATGGATGCTCTGTTTCATACTCTTTAGCTCATTAGTAATTCTTCAAGAAAACACACGCACATAACTACACATTTTATGGATTATTTGGAGTGACACATTTTCATCACTGCTGTCAATTCACTATATAGTAGTGTCATTTCAGTTAATAATGTGTTAGTCGTTACACTTACATATTTTAAACGGGAGTCTTTCCCCAATTACGTTTCCCTCACAGCATTGTTGAGAGCGTCAGAGAAGGCGTGACCAGTCCTGCCAGTGTAAACTGGCCAGTGCAAGGAGTGTGCTCGCTGTAAACCTCTGTGACCTCCTCAGGATCAATGTCAACCGGGGTATGCTGATCGACTATGTGCCATCCCGCTTCACCATCAGCAGGAACCAATATTCGTCTTAGTCCGGACCTCAACCTTAAGTTATTGTTCCGATGCCGTTCAGATTCAGAATGCTGTATGTGACATGTGATATTTTATATTACACAATATACTTGCAGGTTTAGAAGAATTATTCCCTATGACCATCACTTTTATGTCTTTTTAACATGATCAGGCTATGGAAGTGGCCAGGATGGCTAGGGCATCAAGTATTATCAGGGTGGACTTGAACCCTGCAAAATATGTACAAGTTACAGTCTATTGTTATCTTCAAAAAGAAAAAAGAATGATTTCTGGTAAATGTTAATGGACACACACTGAACTTCAGCAAAAAAAAAAGCCAGCTAAGAAATTTGGCTGCACCGTCTTTGTAAACCCAAAGGATCACATTTCAAGCAATAGTTATGTTAAGTTCTTTGCCTAAGCATACATTAATCCCTTAATTTGTTCATGGGATGCAATATTGTATCAAATGCTCGCAATTGAATTTGCTCCTGGTGCTTGTCGAGATGACAAACAGTGGAGGCAACAGAGCCGTGGATTGCACTTGCCACATCCACACCATGATATCTGCCTTTGAATGCGTTCATGATGTATGTTTTCTGTACACTTGTAATTTGATCATTGTGAGCATTGATGTGTCTTCTGCTTTATACTGAGTCATGAAGTCTAAGTGCAGGGGTGAGGCGTGGTCAGGCTGGTGGGCGCCCCGCAGAAGGAGGCAGTGTTCAATACCCACCCAATGAACTTCATCAATGAGAAGACCTTCTCAACACTCGCCAATAGCCAGCAGTCTTTAGTTACTGTGTACATGAACATTTTGCACAGTAATGGTTTGTAGTTTCTTTGTTTTTTTTGTTTGCACGTCAGCTTCTCTGTTAATGTCAATGTTTTCTATTTTTTGAACTGAATATAGGCGTCTCCATTGCGCATTCCAAATCAGTTCTGATGTTCTGTCATCTTTTTGTTTGCATAAAGCCAACCAAGTCAAAATTTGGTACCTAAAGACCAAGAAGATCTTGACATCATGATTTTGACCAAAAAAAAATACTAGCCTTCTGCAAATGGCCTTTGGTCTATTATAATGACCATCTTATGCTACAAATTCACAAAAAATCAAAATCCTTTATAGTATATACTACAACTGCTTTAACTTTCAGGTAAAATAATTTTGTACATAAATACATATAGTTAACTTTGAAACAAGATGCCTACACATCGTTGCATCTATACTTTAACATTCAGTATTAAAAAAGACGGGCGCAGCAATGCGCGCCATCGATGATCTAGTTGTAACAAAATGTGGCAAGGGGATACTTATTGTAGCTTCTGTTACCAAAAATGGCTTTCGCCTCCAGTTCAAAAAAAAAAAATGGCTTTCGCCTGCTTTATCCATTTTCTGTTATGAATGAGAAACCATTCAACTTCTCTTATCTGATTATTGTGTGGCGCGCATTGCTCGGCAAGCTATGTATTTAACCTTTAATATCACTCTGCCTTGTAGCAGTACGTATACTTTTGGGTCTTGGTTATGTGGGATTGATAAATCTTTGAGATCCTTGTATTGATTGGGGGCACTGCGGTGTGTTCTGGTCTATCTGACTATGCATAAATAATGTAGTCTTTTTGGTAAGAAAAAAATTTCCTTGCTGCATGCTAGTGCTACTTTGTGTACCAATTGGCTGATGTGCGTGTCGGTGATAGGCTTCCCAGTGTTTAGAATGGTCTTTTTAACATGTTCATCTTAGTTGGTTCAGGTTTTTTAAGTTTATCCCTCTTTAGCTTCTGAAAGTTTAGAGTGTTCAGTTAGGCTGAGTGTTTAGAGCGTTCAGCGATAGGCTTCAAAGTTCGATTTTATTTATAAGCAATAAATGCAATAAGGTTGATTATATACTGTACATATGATGCAGATGCCGGAGTAATAGAAGCCTTCATTTAAAAAGAAAAAGACAAACAAGGCAATCTCTCGATATCTCTTACCTGAACTTTGTCGTCAGATTGGATGTGTGGGTGCAATGCCCCAAATCATCTCCCTGTCCAAATATCCCAGGCTCCTAGGATTATGATGTCCAGACCAAGTTGAATGCAAATGCAGTAGACGTGTTTGGAACTGATAATTAATCTATGTACGTACTATATATTTCTCTTGAATCGCATTGTTGTCATCTATACACAAAGCTTCTTTGCCATATACATAGAGCACTCAGAGAAAACAACCTGTGCAACAGCAACTGTTCCCGGCCGTGTCGAACAGGCAGTTACACAGGATGGTGATGAAGCTATGACCATATTGCAAAACTAGGTCTGCACTCATCTCTCGAAATCTCTGTGCAAATAGGGTCCTAAATATCTCTATATGTGTCTCCCGTGTCTCCCTATAGCTCGATCCACCATATACAGATCATGCCCTAATCCCAATGAACTTCAACTGCAAACACAGAGCAGAATGTGTTAGTTCTTTATATTCCAATTTACGTTATCATACATTGAAAGCTCGACTGAAAAGCCGTGGGTCATCTGCAAAAGCTTACAAGGTTGTTATTGGGCTCCCCACAGTAGAAGCCATGAATGAAGATGGGTAGAATGTTGCACGCAATCAGGACAAATATCATCAGGGCATGCATCCCCATCCACTCCATGGCGATAGTCGGGCGACGGTACCCGTAGAGGTCGACCAGTGTGTAGATCCCCGCGAAGAGGAGCCCCGCAGCACCAGCGGTGCACAGAGTGTAACTTACGGTGTACAATGGCTTATTCATATGCATTCCTGCAGAGATCATCAGCATAGTGATAGTGCGGTCAATGTCATTGCCCAGGATAATCAGGAATGGAGTGTTAACTGATGACGATATCCTTACCGAAGAAGTCCATTGCGAAGGCCAGGACGAGCATGCCGAAGGAAGGGACAAGCCAGTGCATGATTCTTTCCCTGTGTTTCTGCAATGAAGGATAGAGATGGAGAAATTCAGAATATGTTGCATTCATCCAGAAGATCAAGTGCTCACCAAATGGAAAGCAGACATTTCACCTGAAAATGTACAATTATGTGCCCGTATTGGAGACCGATCAAGCAGGTGACGATGGCCATCACAGAACTGTTTACGGGAAAAAAACAATCAGAATTTACCCTGGGCACAGAACTCACGTTACAGCTAGAAGAGATAAACTCTGAAGGAATCATGAGTTTTTCTGACCTGAGAAGCCCTTCAGGATCAAAAGGGGCCTGGCACCATGAGGGTGCATCAGGAGGGAGTGGCCCATTTTGCGGTGAATCAATGCTGCATTGCTGTCACAGGAGAGAGGAGTTAATACAGACTGAATGAAGGTGACGAGTAAGCATTATGCAAGCTCTTGAATTTATTAGAACCTGGGATCGCGCATAAACCGGTCGACCATAGAGATGCTGGATGCCTAAGATTTTGCGGTCAATCATGCCAACCGCATTGCAGCCTGGCCCAGAGTCACCTCGTACACCACATTTGACCTGATATAAGTTACGATTTTGAAGCTCATCAGTTCTACTCTCATCTGTTTTTTTGCGGGTAGTTCTACTGTCATCTATAATACTGCTAGATATATTCTTAGCATGAAAAAAATAAGTGAAAGTGGAACTTACAGTGAACGTTTTCTCTGTGGAACCAGGACCTGATATCCGATACTCCCAGTCAGGAACGTAGGTACCATACAAGAGAACCATGTAGGTGATTGTGATGAGTAAGCCTGCGAGTCTAGCAGAACAATAGCAAATGGTAATTTCAGAAACACAACTTGCTCATACTAAGTCATCTATATATGTCATGTGGATCAGTGATTTTTTTTGGATTCTTAAAGGTTTGAACTCACAGTTGATATCTGTATCTCTTGATCAAATCAAGTCCAGAATCTACATCATCATCTCCCTTGAGCCAAATCTGACAGAGTGCTGTAACAAGATAAGCTATTGCGATTCTCTGCAACCAAGCAGGCGCCACAAATCATCAGTCATCCCACATTTAGTTGAACTGTTGATGCAGAATAATGTAATGCATATATATGCTGCTTACCTGCAGTATACCCATCAAACGTATTTGTGTAATATCAACCCCAAAAGTAAGGCTACGAACTCCATGAAAAAATCCACCTGTGCATCATAGCAGAAAAAGAAATTAAACATCAACATTATGTCGAAGTTCAAGAACAATCCTAATTAATACGTACCTTGTAGAACAAGACCAACACAGAAGAGCTTCAGTGCACGAAGTGTTGCCTTTCGAGTTGCATCCAATTTATCCGGCACTCTCTGCACGCATCACGAGATGACGCAATTAGGTGGAAGCAACAGCAATTCGTGAATGTCACACCGGTGTTAGCTTGAGAAAACGAAAGTAAATGTCACGGTCGTGTTGTTAATCAATCAGTGTGTACCTTGTACGCCAGAGCTAGAGCAACCCCAACGATGAAAAGGAAAAAAGGCATGACGAAATCAGCTATGGTTACACCTTCCCAAGGAGAGTGGTTCATTGCCGGAAGAAACGATCCAGCGTCGTCCACGATGATCATAAGCTGCAGCAAGGAAAACAACAGTTAACCTTGGTTTCACTCATTTTGTCAACAGATCAGAAAGGCTCGGTACAGAATGATTTTCTGTTCAGTATATAGAGCTGTACTGTGCATTCCATGTAGTAACAAATGTTTCTGTTCTACCTTTTCCTAAGAGACTACTCCCTCCGTCTCGTAATATAAGAGCGTTTTTGACACTAGTGAAGTGTCAAAACGCTCTTATATTACGGGACAGATGGAGTAGTAGTAAGAACTTTCCACTGTCTAAAACAAGCATCTGCACATATATATACTGGAGACTTTTCTATATTAACCAACCATCAGACGTACCCCCACTTGTTACAGACCCAGATCCAATCATGCTAGAGAAAAAATAACCATCAGATGTAATTAATCAGATATGCTTCCACTCCTGCAATGTTACTTTAGCACTAATTTTCGTGGTTCTTGCATAATTACGTCTTAAAAAACCACAGCTATATAAATCCGAGGAGACAAAGGAACATGATGCTGGTAGGTGATGGTTACAGCTTCGCATTATATATGGTGGTCTGGCTCTGGCATCAGATTCAATCTCCACATGCATTTCATCTCGGAAAACAAATATTCTATCCGGGAAGAAAGAAAGCCCCATGATTAAGCCCGCCTACAGTAAAATCGAGTGCATGATTGCAAGAAGCAGCATGCCTGAATTCCTCACCGGCAACATCAACCCAACACACCTGAATTTCTCACCCTGTGTTATTGCCATTCTCTCTTTCTTTTGTGAGAACACGCAAGCGACCTGCGGTCATTTTATTTTATTACCATTAGGAAGAGAAGGAAGATACGTCCAGAAAGTAATGGACAACGCCACGGCAACACCAAGGTCGATCGTATGGTGGAAGAGTTTTCCAAAAAAAAAAAGATCGTATGGTGGAAGTAAGTAGGAATCGAATGGAACCACCGGCTGCAAGTTTCGTGGCACGCACGCTCGGCCAATGTGACTGGCCACGATCGCTTCGTCCTGAGACATCTACGAGGCCACAACTCAGAAGGACAACGTAACTCTCAGCGTAGACGCAACTTACCAAGTCCGCATGTGGGTAGTAAATAAAACCAGTGGGTGGAGAGGAGAGACGGTCTACAGCGACGGGAACCTAACCTTCTTCTCCCTTTGGAAGGCAGCTTACTGTTAGTTACACTCCTAATTAATCCATCTATTCTGCCGTGGCATTGCTTAGCTTTCACTTTCACGTAGTAGAGGTAGAGGTGAATTGGAGTAGACGGAACACAGTGGGGCGGCAACCCAACAATGCGTAGCCGTTGCCTCATTGTTCAGGCAATTGATCATCATAGCAGTAATAAAGTTGCGTATTTTCAGGCACGAATGGGTTGTTTCGTCATTTTCAGACAAGGCATGGCTCACCCTCTGGGCTGGACATAGCTAGCCAATCACTTGGATTTGGAAGGCTGTGTGCATACGTGTGGTACTCTTCAGTCTCCACACAGGGCTGTCATTTTCGGTCCATTGGACAGCCTTGTCTTCCCAGGGAAGAATTGGTTGGGGCGTTGCCATCTCCCACGTTTGGACCGGCTACACAGGATGTGACCTTGGGATCTCATCTAAAGATGTACACTGCTATTCTACCTATATGTGTCGTGCCATCCCGGCTAGCTTGCTCCTTTCCTACCTAGCCACTGTAGCAGCCACTGATCATTCATCATTTCTGGAGCACGACACGACACAACAAGGAAAAGGTCGCACCTATTTTTTTTGACGGGAGGAAAAGGTCGCACCTAATCAAGCTACCGTGTTACTAACTTTCAAGAGTTGGCTTAAACAGAACAGGACCATGAATCGACCACATGACATCAAAAGGTTGCTTGCGTTTTTGCACTTTGAGTTGAGTTGAGGCCTTGAGTGGATCTCAACTGCTGGGTCAGCACGCGCGACCGCGGCGACACCGACAGTTGATCTTGTTTAGCAGTGATATAGTTGTTCACTCCTACTTCTCCCTGATGCGTGTTTGCCTCCTTTTTGTGCTTCTCAGTTCCAGCTTACTGGATCTTCACTTAAGTAGGTCAGCTAGCTAGAGCTAGTTCTCACTACCCAGGGATGACAATTATATGTTATCTTGCCCGTGTGTGGTGATGGTGCCTCCCATTAGCCCCAGGCACCGTCACAGCGCACGGTTGCGCGGCCGCGTTAGTGTGACACCGACGTTTACCCTTGTTTACTCCTGCTTCTCCCTCTCGCGGTCAGGGCAACCGAAGCTGAGAAAACTAATGGTCTCCAGTGACGCGAACCTTCAAAAGGAGGGGAAACCCCACCGCCGCAGGTAGGACAGCCATATCAAGGCTGCACGATCTGCACGCCAGGGACAGCCCCCCGGGCCGGTCCAAGCCAAGCCACACAGCTGCCGCTTGCTCGTGCTCGTGCTCGTACGTACCAACGTCCAATAAACACAGCGAGATTCTCCCACAGTCGCCCGGGCCTGGCGAATCAGCACCCTGGCTTTGTGCCGGTGGAGCGGCGCGTGTCGGCCTCCCGATCGACGCGTCGCGGGCCAAGCAAGCAACGACAGAGAAAAGAAAAGAAAAGAAAACAAGCGGCGAGGGCACGGCGGTGGCCATGTGGAGGCAGCTGCGCCCGTCGCCCCGCCGGCCGGAAGGAACCTCGTCCGACCCGGCCGTGCTGTTGGCTCGTTCACGCGTCCGGCCGGGGTGTCTTGTCTTCTTTTCTACAGCGACGGTGCATCCATCTGTCAGTGCGACCTAGTCACCCGCCAACAACGTCGCACCCACTACGACTAAGCAGCCGTTGCTTTGGCAGTTGGCGACCCGGCCTTGGCCGGTCGATGGACACCGGACACCGCCACGCCACCGCGTGATGTAAAGCGGGGGTGATCGACGGACTGGACAGATCGCTTGCGGTGCGACGGCGAGAGAGCGCGTCACATGCTAAAGGCGCGGCCCGTCTCATGGGCTTGTCTCGACTCGACGTGAGGCGCCAACAGCCGACGACGCATGCGCCATGCGTCCTCCAGGGTCGGGGAATATTGGCTCGCTACCAGACGTGATCCTCACACCTCCACAGATGCAACAATTTCCACCACCCCCTCTATAAACTAGGCATCTGTACGTACCTAACATTCTTCACCTTTTGTGCCCACGCCGCCAAATCCGATCAAACACCCAACCACACCCTAAAATGCGTTTCCCGTTTCAAAAATGATTCAATTAACTTTTATAAGAGCATGTATAGCCGGACTAGACAAAAATCCGGTCCCTTATACGTCCGCAGGCGTCTAGCCACGTCCGCGGACAATTGTGCTATTCTTTTTCACTAAAATGGAAGTTGCAAATTTCTGAATTGGTTTAGACCTGAACAACGGCAGACCCTTTCAAAAGCACAAAAAGGTGCATCAACACACTGTAAATATGCATCTCTTGAAAACGAACTGTACTATTCATCTTGTTCTGAATTCTTCCACCCTTGATATTCGACTCCTTCGTCGCCTTTACCAATTCTCTCGCCTGGCCCGTGTGCACTGTGTTGCTCGCTCTCACGAGTTCTACATCTCTACTATTGGAAATTTTATTTCGAGGGATCTACTATTAGAAATTAGTGTCGTGTCAGCTGCATCTGTACGTACACGATATCCTTTTCTAAGTACCAATTATGAGCATACATGCGCTCATCAACTTATCTACTAGCCCTAGCTAACATAACATGGAGCGGTGAGCTAGAGTTGACAATTCTTTCCACTTTTATTTCCGTATCCAACAAATTCAGGTACGGAAGCAATACAGCAACACAGGGTATATACTAGTACTACCGCATGAATTCTGCCGTGTGCAGTCTCGGGTCCAACAGCTGGTGAATTTCCGTACGCCTGCAACTAGGGTATTTTCCTACTGCGAGCCGGTGGGCCACCACCGGCTAGCGAGCACCGACGGTTCGAAACCCATTTGGCGGCCCGGCGATCGGATTAACTCTTCATTATCTGACGAGCCAGGCCGGTGGTGTCAGTTGTAAAGAAGCATATCAGGATGCGTCGCATAACTGTCGTTTAATGATCTTTAAAATGGCTATCAAGACGTGTTGTCTTGTCACCATAATGCATGGCCACAATGGCTATCTTTAGAGGTAGAGCAGTGCTAGCAAACATAGGCAGTCGGAGCTGGAGCTTGAAGACGAGCCACCCAGCAGAGCTGAGCTAGGCAATCATACGCCGGTGGCAGCAATGACTATGACTCCGACAACTTGGCATGCCGCCCGTACAGGAGCCTCGCTGGCCAGCAGTAATGCTCCCTGAAGCGAAAATCTTGTACTACTAGTGATCATGTGGTTGGTTCAATCAACTCTGCTTTCTTTTGGTTACTCTAGTTTAAGTGGAGACAAAAAGGGTAAAGGGAAGAAGGCCGGCAATGAGTAGCTAGCATGCTGCATCATGATTCATGGAGCATCTACGTTTGGCTGGCAGTGGCACCAAGGATGATGTGTTTGGTTGCAGGGCTGCTGCGAAATCGATCGCGGCGGAGAAAAATGAAAAGAAGATAAAAGGCCCACGCGGGAAGCAATTCGATTTGGCATCGGATATCAGGAATATCGCAAAGAAGGGCGAGAAAGACGTGATTCCCGTAAAACGAACTGAAAGCGGGGAGGGATTTGTTGTTGGCGGCACGTACCAGCACGGTGATTCCCCGGAAGACGTCGAGCGAGACGAGCCGCTGCTGCCGCGGCGCCGGCGGAGACGCCTTGGCCGGCGGCGCGGGGCCGCAGCGGCCGGCCTCCAGATCCAGCGCGGGGCCCGCGGCGTCCTCGCTCCGGACGAGCTCGTAGACGCCCATTCCGGCCGCGCTCCGCCGGCCGCCGCACGCCCCTGCATTGGCCATGGATGGACGGATCACCTCCACTTTCCCCACGGCGGAACAGGAACAGGAGCGAAGAAAGCAACAAGCGCGTGCGGGGGGTGCGGCACGGAAGGCGCCCGCTCACCTGACGGCACAACTAACTCGCCTTGGCTCCTCCTCCTCCTCGCGCTCGCGCGTATCTCGTTGGCCTGGCTTCCTTGTATCTCTCTGGCTTCGTTGGTCTGTTATCTATGTTCCCTCCGTCCCTCGGCGAGGAGTCGGATCGTTTTGCTGTTACCTGGGCGCGGCGCGAGATCGGTGGGGGGTGGACGGGCGGAGCGCATCTATATATGCACGGACCGGCGTTACTCTCCGTTACGTGATATAGGAGATCGTCGTTTTGGCGTGGCCGTACCGATCCTCGCCGATGGCCGTTTCGGTCACGTGCCGGCCCGGGCTCTCTCTCGGGCCGGGCCGGGGATTGATTGGCGCGTGTGCGTGTCTGGTCGCAGCCACACACGGCTTTTCGGTTTTCCTCAAAAAAAAAAAACACGGCTTTTCGGTTTGGGTGGAAGTGGTGTGGCCGTTAAAGGATAGGAGATGCTTTCGTATCGGACTGGAGTGCAGCGCTGCTGCCATGGGGATGGTGTCTGTGGATGAGACGAGACGGCTTTGCTTTGGACTCATTATTGAGGAAGGGCTTTGCTTTGGTGGATCAAAATCAAGCTTTTTTTTTTGCTGCAAGATGGATTCCTTTTCTTGTTTCTTTTTTGAGGACGGAGTTCGTTAGTGCAGGTGGTGCTAATAGTAACGTCCCGCGTCGGGAGAAGCGTTGGATCGGGAAGTTCGGAACGGAATAATAGGTGGAGAGATTCGCCGATGCTTTTGGCCTTTTGCCCGCTCGTTATTGGCGTTGCTTTGAGGCTCGTCCAATCGGGAGAGAGCTCCTAGTCCTAGTTGACGCTATGTGCGTCAGGAGTGCCTTCGCTGAATGCTACACAAATGGGCCGGCCCAATTTTCCAAGGAAGCTGCTTTTTTTTGTGGGAAGCTATTTCTTTATATTAAAAGTATGAACATTTTTTTTCAGAAAATGTGACCATTTTCTGAAATGCCGAACAAATTTTGGATTCCGAACATTTTGAATTGTGAACAAAATTTTAAAAACATGAAAAAAATCTTTCTAAAATGTGAATGTTTTTGAAATTCTGAACAAAATTCGAAATCTGAACAATTTTTTGAATTATGAATTTTTTATTGAAAAGTGAACAAAATTTGAAAAACATGACAATGTTTTTAAACATGAACAAATTTTCCCAACAATGTGACTATTTTTTGAAATTGCGATTTTTTTGAGAAGGAGATGTTAACAATTTATGAAATCATGAACAAAACAAGGGATTTGGAACACTTTTTGATTTTTCTTTTGTAATTTCGAACATATTTTGAAAATTTTAAATTTGTGTAATTAGATAAAAAAGGAAGAAAAAAACAAACATAGAAAAAACAGCCAGCCAAGGAAGGACACTTGGGCTGGCCCCTTCATACCTGCCCTTCAGAGAAGGCTTGACCCTTCGTCGCCCGTGTGCGGCAAATAGGATGTGCCCTATCAGGAGGGGCTTTGTCCCGCTCCCTCGCCTCAAGCGACGAGTGAAGCGTCTCAAACGTATCTTTAATTTTTTATTGTTTCATGGTATTATATTATCATTTCTACACATTTTTACTTTACTTTATACTATTTTTCTGAACTAACTTATTAATTTAGTGCCTAGTGTCAGTTCCTATATTTTGCATGTTTTGGGTTTCGTAGAAAAACTATATCTAGGAAGGTCCAAACACAATGAATTTTTACGTTGATTTTTATATGGAAAATAAGAGACGCTAGAAGCTTCGGTAGAAGACAAGAAGAGGCTCACAGGGCCCACAAGCAGTATGTTACCTCGTGGTCGTTGAGGTTGCTCATATAGTGGGAGTAACATACTAATGAAATAATTGACCGTTAAAATTACCAGACTAACCAATGGTTTTCTAACACTTCAAGAGAGAAATATGGAAGCTCATGTCTCTGACAAAAATAGTGCAGCAATATGAACCCTCAATGATCTTTAAAATTGAAGATCATCAATGCAACATAGAGAGATCAAAGCCTGTGACAAAAACAATTGAAGCAGAGAATTTTACCTTTGATTTTGTGCAGTTTGTATTACCCTTGATGAGAAACACTCCATGAAATCCATTGAGGTGCCTTCAGGCGGCAGTGGCAAAGCTGCTCCAGCTCGTACTCCATGTGTCCCTCCCAGCACGACACCGGCGGTAGCGACAACAACATCATGGTTTGCAAAGACGAAGGACGGCTGATGGACAAGCTAGAGGATGAGTGCACCATTGATTTCAGTTATGGATTAGGAAGAATCGAGGTGGGAGCTAGGGTTCATTGCCTTGAGGTGTGCGAGATGGGAATTAGAGCTAGGGTTCATCGCACAAATGAATCGTTCTCCCGATCACGTCAAATTAACACATCAGTTGCCTAGTTAGCGTAATTAGAGTCAAAACCGCCCCGAATCTAACCTAAACCACTGAAGGGCCACATTTATACCAGTTTTGTAAAATTTAGGGGGGGGGTGGGAGGAATTTAGGGGGAAAACTATGCTTTCCTCTACCTGAAATCGAGAAACCGCGTCCTTCTGGTTGGCCTCATTTGACTATTTTAACGCAAACAACGAGTTTAAGCAACACACCAACTAAAGTATTACCACACCAAGGGAACATGAGATATATTTTCACTATAATATAGCAAACCAACAAGCGTGGGACCACTATGGAACGCCTGGATAGAGGCTTTTTCAACCTAGCGTGGGAAGACCGCTTCCCTAATTCAACACTCCCCTCCCTAACTCATTTATCTTTCGACCACATCCCGCTCATAATCAACATCTCTTCGCATATCCCTCGTTCCCGCCCCTTTAGTTTTGAATCTTTCTGGGCCCTTCACTCGGCTTGCAAGCGTATTGTTTCAGAGGCCTGGACCCCTCCCCACTTAGCTATCGCTTCGGACCTAGCCCTGGCCACTGCCATCAAATGCACTAGGTCGAACCTCAAATTTTGGTCCAAAAAACTTAGGCATGTTCACCAGCGTGAAATTGACTACAAGACTGTCATCAACATGGTTGGCAGCATTGAAGAAAAGCGTACCCTCTCCCGCCTAGAGGCGTCCCTCGGACTAGTAGTTATCACCTCCCTTCAACGGGCGGTCAGGCAAAAAGTTCTCTTCTAGAAGCAAATGGGGAAAGTAAAAGCCGTCGTCGACGGTGATTAAAACTCAAAATTTTCCATGCCTCCGCTTCTCAGAGGTTCCGCAAAAACAACATCGACATCCTTGAGGACAATGGGGTTGAGGACAATGGGGCCGAGTTTTCTGACCATGTTAATAAAGCCGCTATCCTTCACAACTTCTTCCACAATCTGCTAGGCACTTAGAAAGTTTCGACCTGGCTCTTCAACCTTTCTTAATTTTACCCGACCCATCTCCCCCGGTTACTCCACCTAGACTCGGCCTTCACCAGCAGGAAATTCAGGATGCCTTCCTTCATGAATGTCAATGTCAGCCCTTGTCCTGAAGGGCTTGGACTAGGTTTCTACTGAAAATTCTGGCACAACATTTACGATCCTTCCATTTTTCATTGACTTAGCAGACCTTTGGGTCAATCTCGAGTGATTCAACAGAGACCATATGATCCTCCTCCCCAAAAAAGAATCTGCCAGAACCCCATATGGCCTCAGGCCCATTTCTCTATAGTTGCCCTCCCGAGGCGACCACAAAAGTTATTACCAACAGGATCAAGCCACTCATTTCTCTCCTCGTCGATGGCGACCAAACTGGTTTCATCACGGGGAGATACATTGGTGAAAACAATATCTACGCTGCCAACCTTCTTAGTGCCTGCCACATCCGGAAGGCACCCACTATGGTGTTAAAACTTGACTTCCACAAAGTTTTGTCTTGATCTAATGGGACTCGCTCCTTCTCATTATGCTCGCTTGGGGTTTCCCGGCCAAAACTATAAGCTGGATCAGAACTTTACTGGTGTCGAATAAGACAACGGTACTCCTTAATGGGAACCCGGGCCCTTGGATCAACTGTAAAAATGGTCTCCGGTAGGGTGACCCCCTGTCCTCCTATCTATTCGTCACCGTCGCTGATCTGCTTCAACATTTAATCATGCAGGCTTTCTCTCCAAAGTAGCTCTGCCACCCGACACCACTATAGGATACTGCTAACGCGACACTACGATCAAAGACCCTTCGACGAAACTGTGTGCGATGCCATAATCGAAAACGATGGTGTAAAAAACCCATCAAAAAGGTGCAAAACGTTTGCGATGGAGGATGCATCAAACACGATTCAGATTTTAGTTGTGTGTGCGATGCAGGGCATACGGTTCAACTCAATTAACTATTCGCGATGAGGAGGAACAAAAGAAACGGGCAACCAAATGAAGGTGTGTGCGATATACATCATACGATTCACTCGAATGAACTGTTTGTGATTAGGAAGCACAAAAGAAACGGTCAACCAGACCAAGGTGTGTGTGATTGAGGGCATACGCTTCAGAAGGATTAACTGTTTGCGATTAGGCAAGAGAACAGAAACGGGTCAGCCAGATCAAAGTGTCTGCGATTGATGGCATACACTTCACATGGATGAACTGTTTGCGATTAGCCACAACAAACTGAAATAGTTAGATAGATCAACATGTGTGCGCTAGATGGGCACACACATTCTAATTAAAAGAAGTGTGCGTGATGGTAATAACGAGCGCGCACGGTTGTTGGAACAAGGTGTCTGCAATATACGGTATGCGGTTCACTCGGATGCGTTGAGACATGAGAACAGAAATGGTTCAACTTAACAAGATGTGTGTGGTACGCGGCAAACAAGTCTGTAATCGGAAACGTGTGCGAAGACCGATAACAACACAGATGATTACTGCTAACAAGCCGTGTGTGTTGTGAGCAAACGATTGCTGGTATACAATTATGAGTG